GGTAGAGAAAAATGAACTGAAGCTACATCTCACATCTTATACAAAAATTAATTCGAATGCACCTCAAACTTAAATATAAAATGTAAAATTATAAAATTTTTACAAGATAACTCAGAAGAAAATCTTCAGGACGTAGGGCTTTGGACAGATTTCTTCGACTTGACACTGAAAAGCATGCTGAAAAACAAACACTGACAAACTAGATTTCATCAAAATTAAAAATGTTGGCTCTTTGAAAGACCTTGTGAGGGCATGAAAAGATAAAGCATACACTGGCAGAAAATATCTGCAAATCACATATCTAACCATGACTCACATCATTATTATATAAAGAATTTTCACAATTCAACAATACAAAAGCAAGCGATCCAATCGGAAAATGGGCAAAAGACATGAAGAAACATTTCACCAAACAGGATGATATACAGATGGCAAATAAACACATGAGAAGATAGTTCAATATAACCAGCCATCAGGGAAATGCAAATTAAGACCACAATGAGATACCACTCACTACACACCTACCAGAACAGCTAAAACGAAAAACAGTGATAATACGAAATGCTGGTGAGAATGCAGAGAAACTTGATCTTTCACACTTTACTAGTGGAAATAAAAATGGTGCTGCCACTCTGGAAAACAGTTTGGCAGTTTCTGAAAAAAACTAAATAGTCACTTACCATGCAACTGAGCAATTGCACTCCTGGGCATTTATCCTAGAGAAATGAAACCTTAGGTCCACACAAAACCTGTACATAATATTCAGAGCAGCGTTGTTTGTTAAAGCCAAGCCTGGAAACAACTAAAATGCCCTGCCATAGATGTACAATTTGTACTAAACAAACTGGTACATCCCTACCATGGAATACTACTCTGTAATATAAAGGAATGGATTAGAGATATACACAACTTGGATAGAACTAAAGGATATTATGCCGAGTCAAAAACACCAATTTCCAAAAACCACATACAGGATATCATTTCTACAACAGTCTCAATTTGACAAAATTAGAAAGATGGAGAAGAAATTAGTGGTGTTGGAATATTTCTGTACCTTGACTGCAGTGGTAGTTATAGGCATCTCTACATATGTGATAAAAGTCATAAATATACACATACATTGATATATTCAGGTATGTAAGATGAAACTATTAGGGAAAATTAGATAAAGAGTTCACAGGAACTCTCTATACTATCTTTGTAAGTTCCTGGGATTCCATAATTATTTCTAAATAAAAAGTTTAAAAAAGTTATCAAACACAAGACATTAAAAATGACCATTATTTTAAAGTTTATCTTAATGTGTTTTTCTAAGTGCTTTACCACAAATATTATATTTATATTATATTTTCGGAAAATAACTGACTCATGAGAAAATAGAACATACATAGACAGCAGACAGTTATAATATGTAACATTTGTGGATATAATCCAGACAAGTTTAGCTACTGAAGAATAACCCCTCAAAGCTACGATATGTGTGTGTGTGTGTGTGTGTGTGTGTGTGTGTGTGTGTGTGTGTGTGTGTAAAATGCATTTGAATCAGAGACAGTTTTTGGCATATGTTGGGGGTGGGGATTAATTTGCTAGTGAGTAAACCAAGCTAATGGCTCAGCATGCACATTTGTTCCCTACTGGTCATAAAATATGAAATGTTATGACAGAAATCATATGCTACTATAATATTTACAAATTTGAGAAACTGAGCAAGTCAAAGGTTTAGATTAGGTTTGACACATTAGGGTTACTCAGTTAATAAACTTACTTCTTCACACAAATAATTTTTAAAAACATGGCAAACAGCCCTAGCCAGTCTGGCTTAATGGTTATAGTACTAGCCCGCAGACTGAAGGGTCACAGGTTCAATTCTGGCCAAGGGCACACACCTCGGTTGCAGGCTCAATCTTTGGCCCTGGTTGGGACGCATGCAGGAGGCAACCAATCGATGTCTCCCCGCGCCCCACACACTCTCTCTGAAAAGCAATGGAAAAAATATCTTTGGGTGAGGATTTAAAAAAAAACAACACAAAAAACATGGTAAACAAAGTATGTGTATTTATTCTTTTAAGTTATTTAAACATATGCTTTAAAGCTTTACTGTATTCAAGCCATCCTTCTGTAAGCATTCCCAGACTCTATAAATGTTAAATAACTAATAGAATAAATATGCTCTTCCTATGGAATAACTGTAATTTCTCTAGCCTTATCCCTAGATATAGTTCAGGACTCTGCTAGAAGGAAAACAAGTTTATACACACAATGTAATATCTTTCAAAGTTGAAAACATTTATGAAGGCATTCCTAAGCCATCTTGTCATTAAACTAACTCCATCCCTTTGTCCTTTCCTTAAAGGCCATACTTTCACACATGTGTATGTGTGTGCGCATATGTTTATATGCATGTGTATATATTTTTTTCTCTTCCAAATGACGTTCAAGTCTGTTAATTGCTAACAAGCAACATCAACAACACATATACAACACACCCTATACCTACAGTGACTTAAAGTACAGTTGACCCCTGAACACCATGGGTTTGAAAACTGCGTGGGTCCACATTTTTGTGAATATTTACAAGTATTTTCACTTCCTTATGATTTTATTAATAACGCTTTCTTTTCTGTAGTTCATTTTATTATAAGAATACAGTATATAATACATATTACATACAAAATTTGTGTTAATTGACTTTTTGTGTTATCAGTAAGGTTTCAGGTCAACAGCATGCTATCAGTAGTTAAGCTTTGGGGGACTCAAAAGTTATATGTGGCTTTTCAACTGGGGGGGCGCTGGTGCCCCTAACTCCACATTGCTCAAGAGCCAACTATATATGACTCAAATTTCTACAATAAATGAAGAGATCAGGAATACTTTAAAATGGCTACTAAGCAAATTAAAATAACATGAGATACCATTACATACCCATTAGAATGGATAAAATAATTTTCTTAAAATCACGGTAATACCAAGTGCTAACAAGGATGCAGAGCAATTGGAGCACTCTTACACTGCAGGTGAAAATAAAAAATTGGACAACCACTTGGAAAACTGCTCATTTCTTACAAACTTACCATACAGCCCAAAAATTGCGCTCTTGGATTTTTATTTCATTGGGTAATTATCTATGGATCTCACAAAAACTTATACATGAATGCTTAGAGCAACTTCAATTTTAATTCCAAAACCTAGAAACAACTTAAATGTCTCTCAAGTATAAATGAATTATGATACATCCATAAAATGAAATATTACACAATAATAAAAACGAATAAACTACTGACATATATAACAATATGGATGAATCTCAAATGCATTTTGCTTTGTGAAAGAAGTGAGACTCAAAAGGATACAAATTGCTTAACTCCATTGAGTGAATTTCTTAAGGGATGAAGAAACCATTTAAATCTTGACTGTATCTTACAATTGTCAAAAACTGTAGAAGTATACACTAAAAAGAGTGAATTTTACTGTTTGTAGATTTAAAATGACTTTTAGTAACTCTACACAAACAGAAAAGGTTTCCTACCTCACATTAGTTTCATCATTAAATTCTTCAGCCCATTTTTTCCTTGATTGTGCAGTAGTAGAACCATCTAAACGGTAATAGTCAATGTTTCGGAGCCACTTCCCTTCACCTGAAAATTTAACAAGAAAAGAAGAGATTTGATATACACTGTTCTGCTAGTAATAACAGATTTTCTATCTTGCTTCCCATTTAACAGTTGGTTACATGTATTCTATATGCATAGCAAAACACATTTTTAATCAAGGGATAATTCACTGTATTACAAATAAATTCACTACATATTTCCTTGAAGAGATATTAAATAACAAAGATACTTTAAAAAGTACATCCTTTTACAAAAGTAGAAACTATGACTCAAAAAGGTTAAGTGACTGGCCCAACATCACATAGCTTGAAAATGACAGAGCTGATATTCAAAATCAGGTTAATATCACTCTAAATCCAAACCCCAGTAAGGAACAAAGAAATAGTCATCAAATATATATAACAGCTTACTAGGAGTGACATCAGAGCAGTGGCAGCATTGGCATCTCCACTTAAAATTTCAACAAATTAACCAACTAATATTCAACAAAGAATTCCCTACCCAACACAAAGGCATTCTTGAGAGACCTGTGCATTGAAACATCTAAAGGTGGGCAACCGGGAATAAGAGGGCAGACGAGAAGGGAAGAAAGCTCAGATGAACCTCAGACAAAGGCCTGCAGCCAGGAGCTCACAGCGTGGCTGGGAGTGGGGAGGAAACTGACTGACCATAGTAGGCACTTCCTTCAGCAGGCCCGGAGGAACAGAAAGCTGTGGGGGGCAGCCCAGCAGGTAGAGCAGAGTGAACAGTGACTGAACCAGCAAATGCCTGACAGAGCTCGAGGTTCTACCACTCAGGTGTTCACTGACGGGCAGGGTTGTTTCTGATGAAGAAACAGAATGACAGAGACCTGCCACCCCTTGGGCTCCCAAAACTCACCTCCCGTTGCCCTCGGTGTGGGGTCAAGGAACATTTTATCTGAAAAAACAAAAGCTACTGCAGTGGAGCCAGTTTCCCTCTGATTGATTCCCAGGTTTGGTGCTTGGGGTGAGACCCATGGAGGAGGTCGGGGCACCAGTATGGTAAGGGCAAAACAAACGCCACTCCCAAGCAGCTCAGCTGTACTGCTTTGCGGATACCCTGGAGGTCAAGTCTGGGAGATCACAGAGGTAAAAAACCTTGCAATTCAATGCCATCTACTGGAAAATAGTAGATTAAAATCTTCAGAGAATACGGCTATAGAAGGGATATTTATGCCCAGACGACGGAGAGTAGGAAATACCATGAATAACCACAGTAACGAGGATGATCAGAAAGAAAATGAAAAATCCCCTCAAAGCAAGCTGGAACACATAGAAATATGTGATATAAATGACAGAGATTTCAAGATTGCAGTCCTCAAAATATCCAATGAGATGGAAAGAAAATACAGAAACACAATTCAGTGCACTCAGAAAACAAGTCAATTAACAAAACATGTACTTTACCAAAGAAATAGAAACTCTGAAAAAGAGCGAATCAGAAATCCTAGAAAAGAATCATGCAAGTAAGGAGATTAGGAATGAGCTACTGAGCATAGAAAACAGAGCAAACAAGATGGAGGAAAGAATTAGTGATATAGAAGACAGGAAACTAGAAATGATGGAGAGGGAAAGAGAAACAGACATGAGCATAAAGAAAAATGAAAGAGCTCCAAAAGAACTACCTGACTCCATCAGACAAAGCAATATTAGAATTATAGACATTCTGGAAGAAGAAGAGAAGGAGAAGGGACCAGAGAGTCTATTCAAACAGTGGATGAGAACTTCCCAAACCTATGGAAAGAACTAGATCCTCAACTCCAAGAAGCAAACAACACCTAGTTACCACAGTCCAAAGAGGCCCTCTCCAAGGCACATTGTATTAAAATTGTCAAAAATTAATGACAAAGAAAAAATTCTCAAAGCAGTCAGGGAAAATAAAGAAGTGACCTACAAAGGAAAACCATCAGAATTTCATCCGACTTCTCAGCACAAACTCTACAAGCCAGAAGAGAGTAGAACCAAATATTCAAACGTCTCAAAGAGAGAAATTACCAGCCATGAATAACATATCCAGCAAAATTATCCTTTAAATATGAAGAAGAAATAAAGATGTTCCCAGATATACAGAAGCTGAGAGATTTTATCATCAGAAAACCTCCATTACAGGAAATACTCAAGGGAGTTATTCTACCTGAAACAAAGAACATAAGGTCACAACACTACGAGTTAGATCACCAAAAA